GATGACATTCCTGCTGGTGAGCATGAAAGTTGTTTCTCCAGTGAGCCAATACAAACATGAACTGGGAAAGAGAAAAAAAAACCCAAAGCGTTCAGGGAAAGGCGGTGATTTCTGATAGGTTGTTATTTGGCCATTTCTGTGCAGTCAGTATCCTGTACAAGGGAACCTGGCTAAACCTAGGAGAGAGAAAGCAAGCCAAGACTCTGAAACTAACCGAGCTAGAGACACAGAGTGCCGTTCCCTTCATTTTCTCCTTATTCATATTTTATTCTGTCATGACTTTGTCTACTGAGCATTTGCTGTGCACTAATATCATGACAGGGGAATCGAATTTAAGAGAGTCCTTTCTTCACGTAAATGTGCAGGTTGGGGTGAGGGGGGACCCAAACTGTATGGCTTTGAGTGGAAAGTTGAGTGGGGAAAAATGGACTGGCAATTGGGATGAGCTGCAACAGTCTTCTGCTTGAGAAGACAGAGAACAATCACTTTTCAGAGGCTACGCTGGTTTCTGATTTGTACAGACCATGGCCATGCATCTCTAATCTGCTGTGTTCTCTCTTGGTAGGCATCACAGTTAAAAAGGAAATTGCCAATGCCTTTGTGAAGAGGCAGAAGAGATTCGACATGTATGAATGGTAAAATCACGTGAGCCAGGATGAGAACCAGGATGAGACTCCAGATGACTTTTTGGAAGAGGGGGTGGGATGTGGCAAAGCAATTCTTTGCTGTATATCTACATATCATACCTAGAATTAAAAAGGCAGTAAGAACCTGCCATTGATAGATCAATTGTTCTTTTTTCCACAAATGCTCCTTCAGGAGTTCATTGCTGATCTTTGTTATGCCCTCCCATGGAGAAAGACAGCACTAGCTGGGGTCAGCAGGGTACAAGTTAGAAGCTGCACAAACCTGTGGAGACATTAGATCCAAATTCCAGCATAGTGAGTATCACAGATCCCTGACCATTGCCTCAACCTCCGTACAAAGGAGCTACAGCCCAGTTGCAGTGCAGTGGTGAGGCTAAATCTAAAACTGCACCCATTTGTGCATTATATCCATTTGTTCGAGGGTGGTGAGGGTCTGGAACAGATTTCCCAGAGAAGACATGGATGCCCCATTCCTGGAGGTGTACAAGGCCAGCTTGGATGGGGCTCAGGCAGAGTGATATGGTGGGTGGCAGCCCTGCCTGAGGCACAGGGGTTAGAGCTCAACAATCTTAAGGTCCCTTCCAACCTAAGCCATTCTACAATCTAGGCAGAGAGATTTGGAGAAATCCTAGATAAAAACATTTGGAGAAATTTAAGCAAGAATGCTCTTCATATATTTTCTAGAAGGCATTGTTAAGCCACAGTCTCATGTAGGCCTGTCAAGAATAATTATTATTCAATACATCTTTGGATTGGAAGGGTGATGGTTTTGTTTGGATGACAGAAAACAGGGAGTTCCCATCTACAGAGAAGAAGATCGTAGTAGGGTAGCAGAGGTCACTCTGCTTGAAACCTGGAATGATTAAAAACAAAATGAAATTCAGATGAGAAACTGTACTGACTGCCTCCGTACAGGTGGGTCACCATAAAAGTAGTTTCTGCAACAAAAATAAATGAGGAAGGACTTAGGTAGAGAGAGCTTGCTGTATTATTCAATCACAAGGTAAGGTTAGTCTGGAAATACAGATGCAACAAATAGAACTCAAGGGTGCTGCAGGGAATTTCCAATACAGAAATAAAGTAATAGCTTGTGACACTTTCAAGTTTTCAAGTAGCAGTGTGTGCAGGAAAGATTAAGTGAGTCTGCAACAGGAGATGAGGAGGGCATCCAGTGTGTGTAGCTGAGACTAAAAGATTTGGGTGTGCTCAGCATGGCAAAACAAAGCTGTGAAAAGGAAAGGATTGCTGTCTACAGCAGAAGTGAGGATGATGAGAGGAAACTATGAAAACTGAAGGAGAACAGGAAAATGAGCAGAAACTGAGCACAGATTAAGATAAGCAAGAAATACTAAAATAAAATAATTATAAAATAAATAATATATGTATATTTTAAAAGACTGCCACATAGCTGGGGTTGGGGACAAAGACAAAACAACAACAAAAAAAACCGAACAAATCAAGCAAAAAACTAACTCTACAAAAATCATATGTGCTTCTATGGTCTCCTTTGCTGGTGAAACTTCAAAGACAGTTGATTCAACTGGGTTCAGTTCCAACTTCTCCCAGCATTGACAAGGAGATCTATCCCCATGTAGGCAGATATTTAACCCGCCGTGAGATGTCCCCTGCAGGAGCACTCTGGGGAGTCACTCCTCTCAATGTTTGAGTGTGAAAGCTCTCCAACCCCACTGACTGAATGTGCAGAACAGCATTTTTCTCTTTGTTCACTCCAGGTACTCCGAGTATTACAAAAGCCCAATGGAGCAGATGCGTGAGCGCTGTGAAAGCTACCCTCCCTGTGACTATCTGTCTGACCAAATAGGATTTCCCATGGCCTACAACCGTTTCTTTGGGAGATACTAAGGCTGGGATTATTATTTTGATCATCTGACCATTCTGAAAACCCCCAGCAGAAAGAATCTTGTGGATAAGAAGAAGGGAAGAAGAACATCTGCACTGAGATCATCTTCCACTCTCTCCCTTGCCAGCTGAAACACAAAGGCTATTCCACTTGTCTGGATTGCATCAGCTTTCTTGCTCTCATAAAAAATGTTGATTTTCTGTTATCTTCAGTGGTGTTTTCAGTGCCACCAGGAATGGTTGAGAAGACTCTGTGTTGAGAAAACGCTTCCTTTGTAAATACTATTATATAGCTAGAAATCACGTCCCAGTATACTCTTCTTATTATTCTACCACAAAATTTGCCTGTATGATATCAACATTTAAATCCCCAGAAGTGTGTTTGAAGACCTTTTAGATGAGCCCTTCCGTCTGTGTGCTTTCAGTTCACATTCAGTGACTGTGAAAAATGAATTGGAAATCTCTTATTGTTTTTGTTACAGTTGATTTCTGGTGAAACTGAACAAAAAAAGTCAATCTTTCCCTGATGCTTTAGCTTTTGTGCTTGAAATTAAACAGTCAGATTTTCTCCCCAAAACAAACAAAATAAAGCAATGAACTTTATGAAATAAAAATAAAGCTGTTCAGTGGTGGATTGAAGATAGGACAGCATTTTTTTCATTCAGGGTGACTTACCTTTTTATTAATAGATATATATATAATACATACACACATATCTTCTTCCCTCTGCACTACTTCATTCTGTCTCCCTCTATGAACGTTATGCATCAGCAACTTTCAGCAGTCTCCCTTGACACAATCTATCAAAATGTATCCCTGAGAGGTAGATGGCAAATCCGTCTCCAACAGTAGACGCTGCTGGGCCTCAAGGAACTGAGAAACACCAAATCTCTTTTTCGTGTAAGCTGGTGCAGCCATTCCCATATGCTGATAGCAATAAATACTTATTGTGTAATATAGTTGGTGTGCTGCTTTTCTTTATTCCTCTGTACAGCCTGTTTCTGCTGTTAAGGACATGTCTGGAAGGTAGAGCGGGATCCAGACTGATGAGATTTTCTTCCCCCCTCTTCTGCTCCATTGCAAATCAGAAATCATAGAATCACAGAATTGTTTGAGTTGGAAGAGACCCTTAGAGGCCATCTGGTCCAACTCCCCTGCAATGAACAGAGACGCCTACAGCTTGATCAGGGTGTTCAGAGCCACTCCAGCCTGACCTTGGGTATCTCCATGGACGGGCATCCACGAGCTCTCTGGGCAACCTGTGCCAGTGCCTCACTAAATGACTACATCAAGATTCAGGAAATTACTATTATATGCCATTAGAGTGGTGGTGAGGATAGCTAGATTTTTAATGATTTGCTGCCTACTGAATTCAGCATTTCTCTGGAAGACTCTACACTAAAGTAAGGATATGAGATAAGTCTATACAGATGGCTGCTGGGTGTGCAGCCCTTCTTTGGCAAGCTGTTATGGCTTGCTCTGGATATACTGACCTTGGCCGAGGAGAAAATGTTAAGTAGCTCTGCTTGTCTTGGTCAAATATCTGAGTGGTTCCTCGATTGGTATAAAGTGATGCTCACAGAAAAACTCATCTTTGAAAGCCATCTAGTAAAATGAACAACTTTCTCATAGAAAGCAGTGAAAATGTTGCCAGGAAAATAGCAAAGAGATTAGTGAGCTCTCAGTGTCTGCTGCCTGAATGTGAAGGTTTGTTGTTTTTCCTTCCTTCCTTCCTTCCTTCCTTCCTTCCTTCCTTCCTTCCTTCCTTCCTTC